CCTTTTGAACAATCGAGAATACAGATTACTGGTACGAATCGTACCAGACTAGGATAAAGTATGATGACATTTCGGTGTAATCAGGATGGGAACTATGTACACGCAGTAGAATTTTTTGAAATTTTAGGAGGCAGCATTACCGTAGTACGTACGGCACCGTTGTATCATACAGTAGTAACGCGGAAAAGGTACCGTGCTCGTGATCCAGCTTTATTCACATTCGCGGAATACCTGTACAGATAAGTGCGTTCAAGGTTCAAGCCCTACGGTACCGGTAGTACTCGGACATGCCGGTACTACTAATAATAGTATTTGAGGGGGATTCTGGCAGAAAAATCTCACACCCCTTCATAMCGAACGAAGTTAGAGGAGATCATTAGCACAGAACCATCACAATCACCATGCAAAGAATTGCTATTAACAAAAGCGGTTTCTATTCCAAATCTCACAATTGAAGTCCTCGTTTTTGTGCGGYGTAGTTGTGATCAATTAATGAATTTGTCCGCTCACTGATTTCTAGGTGAGAGGAATGATTGTTACTTCTAAAAATCAAGGAGATTSAGCTTGGGGGCTTTTTGATTCTTGCAATACATTCTCTGGTCCCAGATATTATTCCAAATGCAAAGCTATCTCTCTGAAGATGATGCTGAAACAATACCTGGCGAAGACGACCACTTGATGGCCAACTTGAGACGAAACCTTGGTGATGATCTAGTTGTGGAAAGGAAAAACCCACGTGTGACTTTTTCGATGCTTGCCATACACTTGCCGCCCCAAGCAACTCATTCCGCACGCGAACGCGTGCCTTAAATTTCTTGTACTGACGCCGAAGACACATTGTGCGTCAACATCCGTCCAATCATGTCAAAAGATRGATTTATACCGTTCGATTTTATTGGAAGCACGGCAAACCATACTTGGGTACGACATTGCGACAAGGAAATTCCAATAACATAATTTTCATTGCTATCCTGTCCCAAAGTCTGCTTCGAGCTGCCTCAGTACAATTGTGTTGTGGGTTTTTTCGCCGTCCTCGGTCGACACGTCTCGCAAGGCTTTCAGGCACATCTCCGTGGTGGTTCCCACGCGGTACGCGGTTTCGATCAACCCGAACGATTCGTTRATATCCCCTTCTTGCTGCTGCTGCTGTGTCTCCCAGACTCGCATCCGCTTTTCGATGTCCGTAGCAGAAGTTACGCCTGGATCCAATAGATTGCACGCAACTTCGTACTKGTCTCGCCCGTACTTAAGGGTCAGGGCTTCCACACACGGCAATCCCTGGCCGCTCCGCTCGCGGACGGATTCTGTCAGCGTACGGGCAACCCGTCTCGCAACGGTGGGCTTCAACCGAATGTTGAAGTTTTCGACAAACCGGGGGGGCGCTCCCACCGTGGCCTGCCCGGGGGCGTGCGTCGCCGTGGCCACAAGGGTGCTCGCGTCGCTGCTGTCGAAGAATCTCGTCGATTCCCGCCGCACCGCTGCGAGTTCCTTTCCRGAAGGATGYGCGTATCCATAATAAAGAACGTCGGCCCCCAAGGCTTTCATGGTTTCCCCAATGTCACGGGCCACGGAGCCGGTGGTGCTCGCTGCCGCGGCTGCCTCTTCCAGGGGCAAGACGGAGACGTGGTCCACAAGGCCAACGGTGGGATGCCTCTGGCCCGCCGAGGTTTCCGTCACTGCGCCGTCCTCGCTGGTGTTGCCGCGGGCGGTCACGAAACCAGCCAGGGCTCGTATGGCGCGATCAGCCAGAGACGAGCCCACGTCGGCGACCAGCGCCGGCGACCCGGCAAGGTGGAAGGAAGACCTGTCGTAGGGCCCGTCTCGAAAGGCGTGGACGACCGCAACACGCTGGTGCTGCGGACGTTGGTCGGAACCGTGTCCTTGGGTTTCATGGTTGCGGTTGGAACGGCGGCAATGCTCTTGCGTTTCGGTTAGAAGTCTCGCCAGAAGATCTTTGTGGAGTTGGTTGCCCCCGGCACTCACGTAAATATTGCATGCCACGAAGGCGCGTGATACCGCGGTTGTCCTCATCGTCATTGTTGATTTTCCAGTTCTTCTTCAACGACGGTGATAGTCCAGAGCTGTCGATCCCTTTGTCAAGCCCTATCCGAAATGACAGTTGTCACTAGTATGGACGGGACCAAATACTCTTGCATGAGAGACAGATTAGTTCGTGATGTTAAAAACAATTTCAGAAACAAAAAATGATCGTCCCATCATGACTGACTGATCGATGAATCATCAGTCGTCATCGTTTAAAATTTGAAAAATTGTACAGAAAATCGATCATAACTTCCCAAACACTCCAACAAGCACTACAATAAGATAACGCATTCACAACGTTCCAGCAAGTAAACTATTCCAGCAAGTAAACTATGCGCGCGTTTGCAATCTTTTTGCGCGGAAGCTAGGGGTGAGAGAAAATAAGCGAAAAAGCGAAAAAACTTTGGTGCAGCCGTCGTACGGTACGAAACGAACGCTATTCGTACCATTCGTTCACTGTGGCTCGTGCTTGTGCTTTTTTGGTAAGCAACACGATTGACAACCCATGGAGTTGACAACATCCACGACGTCATGATGCGCACGATCTCGCCACCCCTAGCAGATAAATTTTTAGTCCAATCACAGGCACGGAAAAACAATAAGTTTCYAKCGAAAAGAAGGAACTTGTCAATCCCGAAGAGTCCATGAGCGATGTTGGTGGCATTTTTGTGGATTCCGGTCTTGTGCAACGGACCCTTGTCAAACACGGTGACATCGGAGTTGATGCTTCGACGAAACATCATAGCAGCTCTCAAAGAATTCAGCACCCRAAAGCAGAAGCACCCGCCGATGATCACAAGGGWCACATAGACTCTGCTTCCTCCATGCTGTGATCTGTGGACGCAACCGAAGATTGGTATCTCCTCACAAAATAGAATTCTCTAGACCACAACCGCACTTCCGGCACCATTACTACAATAGAACAATCCAAAACCATGATCGCTAGAACCTTTTACATCGTCGCYTTACTCAGTTGTGTTTTCGTATGCCAATCGTTTACKCCGCCACCGCCTAACTCGGCATCGGCAATGAACCTGGCCAACTCTGACYTGAATTACCAATCGGACACGACCTTGGGGGAAGCTACAAAAATCGAAAGACCTCTCCCGGTAAGAAAGAGCAAACCATCCTCCAAGCCATTGATAGAAGAAATTTCATCTCTGGACGARCTCAAATGGTTTTTGGAAGAAGACGAACGACCAGTTGTCATCAAGTAAGTTTAGCAACCCGTCCCTCCGATGTTTGGACGATGAGATCTCGAATTGAATCGAATGCAATCTGACCTGACCCAACGGTCATCTCTMTCCGATTSTAGATTCCACGCAAAGTGGTGYAAGAAATGCCAGCGACTGGGCCTCCAGTTCAACCGCCTCGCCATGGACATGGGGGACCGAATCATCGATCAGCAACTCATCGACGGCGACGTGCGATTTGCTTCGATCGAGTTCACACCAAAGTCCCAGAGCTTCATCACGGAAGAACTCCAGATCAACGGCGTCCCGGACATGCAGGTCTACGTTGGAACGCGCAAGCTGCTGGAAGCGGGATCGTCCATCAAGAAGATCCGCACGGAACTCAACCTGTTGGAGAAGATGAACCACGAAGACGTCCTGGAACGAGCCGTAGAAGCCGACGACGGTGTCCTGGCGAATCTCATYGAAGATTCCTTCTATGATTCCCCGTCGTTCCTGAACGAGGAATGGTAAGGGGCACGCAAAGCCTTTAGSAARCAACCAATAGATCCTTAGGTCACAATACGAGCACATCACGGCTTCGACTACAAGATGGCCTCCTTCAAATACAATTAGAATTGTCGCGGGCACGCCAGAGCACTGTTGTTTGGGAATACAACAGACRCTGATCCGGTCTCGACACACAAGCATACACCATACACCATACAGCACGCACACACACATACAAGCATACAATACTAAAGAATAAACAAATGTAAACTATAGAATGATTGGTTTTAGACCACCGCTGGATTACGCTCAATTATGAAGAGGCTACTACATTCCAACGGCGTTTGCTTGCTTCATGCAGCTCCTTTCGCAAAGAAAGCCATCGCTGTTGCTGCTCATTACATCGCCTCTAGGCAGCCTTGTCGGAACAAGGAAAGGAAAGGCCGACGACTTTTCCTACGGGTGTTCTGTGTGCTAGGTGCCGTTAGACGTTCAGGAAGCAAGGAGGATCGGAACTACTACACTATTCCTACCAAAGCTTGGTAGCGCAACGCACTAGCGAGATGATAATCGGTAGGTAAGGAACAAGATACCTCGTAATATTGAAGGACCTGGATTACAGAAAGTTTTTCTCATGTACCGTACGGTACAGATTCTTGAAAAAACCGCATTCCGCATTCCCAATCCATTCGCAAACGTCGAGTACTCGGGATTGATTGAGTCACGGTTTAGGTCTAGAGGGTCTCATGTCTCATCAAAGATACGGTACCGTACCCAAGTACTCGTAGTATCAATATCGACAGTCCATGCTTTGGGAACTACTCGTACGAGTACCAGCCGTGACGACGGTGGCAGTTGTTGGCAGCAGTGCGTACGATACTACGGTAGGTACCATTCATCAGACTACTGTCGCAAAAGCAACGGGGATACCACGCTTGTYTCTTGGATTTGGCAAGTCGGACGCCAACCGTGCCGATTCTTGCGAAACACCGATGGATGCCGATGGTTGCGCTGCCCCTCCGGACGGGGAGCCGTCGCCAACACCAGCGTCCTACCGCCTTCTGGGGGCAAGGATCCACGGAGACCACGCGGAGGTCCTGGAGTTCCAATCCCCCACCGCGGGCGTCGGCTTTCTCCGGATGCGGCCCAACGACSTTCTCGTCGAGGTCTGCTTCTCGGACGCCAACCCCGTCGACCTCCAAAAACTAAGGGGCCGCSGGAGCGACGCCGGGCGTCCCTTTGACGCCCCCCCGCACGTTCCGGGATGCGGCGGATCGGGCAGGGTGGCGGSGGTCGGGACGGCGGTTCCGAACGAAGACGGCCGGTGGGCCATCGGAACGCCGGTGTGCTTCCTCGCGGATCCCACCCGGCCGGGGAGCTACGCCACCCACGTCGCCGTCGACGCGAACTGCGTCGCGCCGATACGGAGCAGCGCCCCSGGGGGGGATGCCCTTCAGGCGACGATGAGGAGCTGCGCCTCGATCGGTGTCGCCGGCCTCACCGCCTACGAGTCCCTGCAAAAGTGCGGCCTAAGCGGTGCGGGCYSSTRCGGGAGCCTGCTGGTGGTGGGCGCGGCCGGTGGCGTCGGCTCGTGGACCCTCGTCCTGGCCAGGGCCCTGAACCCGTCCCTCGAGATCGTGGCCACGGCATCGACCCCTGACCAGCACGAGTGGTGCACCGCASTGGGGGCAAACAGGGTCATTCGGCACGACGAGATCGGAGCCAAGCTCGGGGGAGGCCGGGAGGGATCGGTCGATTCCATCGTGTGCCTCGCGGAGCCGGCACCCGGGTTGTTCGGGGCCCTGTCCGAGGTGATCCGGCCGTACGGATCCATCTGCCTGGTGTCGGCGGGGGAATCGATAAAATCGCTGGACCTGGGCTTTTGCTTCTTCAAGTGCGTCGACGTCAAGACGGAGACGGTCTTCTCGAGCATCCGAACCGGGTACCGGAAGATCGTCCCCGCCGAAGAACTCGGGTTCGTTGCCGGCCTGGTGACGAGCGGGAGGATAAACGCGCCCCTGTCCCCGGACGCGGAATCCGGGAGGGTTTCGGAATCCTTCCGGGACGCGCTCTCCCAAAAGGGTGTCTTGGAAGCACTGAGCCGGCCCACRGGGAAGCGCGGGAACTTTGTGATGCGAATCGACTAGCATGGTGCGGTACGCTACAAGAACCAAAGCCACGGCGTTTCGTGCCCCTTGTACGCCACGATTTTTAGGCTCTTGCGTTGTCGGTAGGGAGGATCTCTTTCGTCGCACTCGATCGCATACAAATACTATCTTTTATGTGTAAACAAAGTCCTCTGTACAAAATGTTGCTTTAGGGAAGAAAACGATTGGGGTTGTTGTCTTTGTTCTGTTAGCGATTCCTAGCGAGCGAGCGAGAGGGTGCAGACACCGACTACGAGCSCGTTCCCTGCTGCCGTTCTCGTTCCAGATSCATGGCGAGTTTCTCGTTCCCGATGCCGTTGACCCCCACCAGCTTGTCGATGTTTTCGGTGTACATCTTGCCCGAAACCCTCCGCGATTCCGCCGCCTCGAGCTGATCGGCCCGCAGCACGTTGATGGTAGCGTGGGGGGTCCGGCGCTGCCAGGCCCCACCGGCCGCGATCTGTTCCGTGCTCAGCAGCARCGGCCCGCTYTCGGCTTCGCCCTCGGGTCCCGGTGCCTGCCCCCGGGAMGCCGATTCGTAKGTYTCTCGGTACCACTTTTCCAGACGGGGAACGGAGTGCATGTGCCCAAAGCCCGGCCAGGACTTCCCGTCCGGGGTCGCGTACCGGGGGTGAAAGCACACCACGCCCACCTCGGACTCGGCCCCGGCCGCTACCACACCCGCCTCGAGCATCGCAAAGACCGGTCCCGCCCACAGGTCAAAGTCCTCGTCGAATTCCGGGGCCGCCAGCAGGATGCTGCTCACCCCGGTYCTTCCCTCGGGGCCGGCCTTGATCATCGCGTCGATCGCCCTCCACGTGTCCGCAAAGAGGCCGACGGGGTGCCTCTCGAAGCTGGCGTGGTACGCGATCGATCCGACGGGGACCCCCAGGTCGAGGAGCCCCTGCCCGCTCATGCGGTCGCTCCGCGTGAAGGGGCAGATGCCCTGCTCGACCAGGATGCGCTTCACCCACGTCCGGGTGCGATCGTTGACGACTTTCTCGGTGGCTCCGTCGGTCCTTGTGCGGSCGTTCCCATCGGAGGGTCTTTCCTCCGGCGATGGGGCTCGCGGCCTGCGCTCGAGTCGCACCGCGGGGAACCCGAGCGTTTCGTCCGTGAGTAGTTCCGCACGGAGCGTTGATTCGCAGGACGAGGACACGCCGTGGACGTCCGACTCCGCCATCCACTCGACAATCTCGCAGAAATTTTCGGCGAGAGCTCCCTGCGCACCGGGAAGTCCCAGCACCACCACACAAGAGGGCGACAGGTGTTCCATCAGCTCTGCGCTTTCTTCCCACAGGCGAGCAAARGCCGAAACCCCGTCGAGGCCTGGCGCTAGCTTCAGTTCCGTTTCGCCCATRACCGCTGGGTTCTGCCGYCGCCGCACAACCGATTCCAGCCGGCTTTTTTGYAGKGCTTCCTCCCAAGGCGGGGACGGYAATTCCAGGGACGGAAGCTCTACTTTCGGAACCAGAGACCAGACGCCTTCCCTCTGCTGCTGCTTTTTCCGATTCCTCTTGGACGTCGTCAGATCGATGCGGTACCGAGGAAAGGTTTTTGAAAAMGGACACGACGGTGGAGGATCCTGTGACTGCGGGGGTGAAACGGGATCTGTTTCATCGGCACTTTCTCGCTCCTCGCCGGTTGATKTGGCCAATAAATGCGGATGCGGATATGAAKTTCGGGGATGACGCCCTCGGTGGCMTTCGTTTTGAGACAATTGGTCTCGGCGTCGGCATCGGTGTCGATGACGATGTACGATGCCGGTCCCTCTCGTCGATATCGTTCCTGGTATTGTCGAAGTCCGGGAAGTTAGAGCCGAAGACAGCGTGGTGGTGGTTGTCGCGGCCAGCGGCAGAACTATGTACAAAAACGCAAGATTCCTCATGGTGCACCTATTGAGAATGAATTATGGATGGACGTCTGGACGGATAGATAGATGTTTGGATCCGCTTGTTCTCAGAGTCCWTACAACGGTTTTTGGCAATCGGATGATACTTGTATGTGCAGCGTTCAATGTATTCGTAGGTTCTCTCAATCAATTCCCTCATGTTGTAACGGTAGTTAATAGTACTAGTACGAGTAGGGACGAAGTACAGAGCGATGAGAACTACGAGTACGAACTACGTCGTACCGTAGCTCGTTCCAGGGTAAAAAAATTGCATTCGATTGAAGATACGGTATGATGGAGCTTTGTTGAGAAAGGTGTGCCTTCGATGTTTGAGCCAACAGRTATTCTTTGCTCCGTCGACCAGATCGACTCAATGTCTTCTACTAGCACAGAATATGCCAGTCACAGTTCCACACCACTTAATTCATACGAGTATCGTACGTAGGGGTACAATTACGTACGGGTCGGGTACCATAGCACAGCATACTCGCATGTACGTACGAGTACCAGTACTCACATGTACGCTCTCTTTTTTCATGCCACTTAAAAAACACACCGGCCCAAAACGGTGTAGAATCCTCCAGTTCGATGGAGAAGAGCAGAATGAGGCCGTTGAGCAAAATCACCAATGCACAGGTGACGAAGAAAAAACTAGGCGGCAAACCTCCACGCCCAACGATTCKCCGGCAGCCATCAGTATTGCTACAGATGTCGAAGACACAGCTATGAAAAAGGGGATGAGCACAGATACACGGCCGAGTTTTGCGATTTTTTTTTGTGTGGGGGGGGGAGCAGTGCGAGAACCAATCGAACAAAACCCATCGTCTTGTGTCGATAGCCCGAGTGGCTCGGCTGGGTCGTGTGGGCGCCAGTATCGGCAGGCCCAGCAACACCTGTATTGGAAGCACCCGTATCAGCAGCGTCCTTGACTGGAAATACGCAAAATATGGTTGATCGGCAGCAATCGTATCAGCCGCTAGTACTGTAAGGGAGAATTGTATTTTTTGCTCGTACTATCAGGATATCAGCAGTAGGCTTGTACCACCAGGAGGCTTGTATCAGYAGCACGTTCGTAACAAATATGTTCTCGTTTGTTCGCTTGGCGGTCGCAAAATACTGCAGGGTACGAGTACGCTACAATACCAAAAGAACCCTGGCTAATGATCAATTTTATCTCTAAAGTGTGATGGCTTACTGAAGTTTATAATCAGCAACACAGCGCAGCACACTTGAATTGTGTACCGAACATTGATCTTGTCCGACAAACACGAGGAAACAACCTCYCTTGTGCGGTACGGCACGGTACTTGTCAGTATTGGCCCCCGTTCGTTGGATTGCMTTCAAAGACAAGCACTGCGCGATTCATCGTTTAGCGTTGAGACGGATTCAGTCRTTGGAAATAGAAAGCCCGTTCAGGTTTTCAAGGAGGGGATCGATGTTGTCGGCAGCCTTTGCCCTTCCRCTGGACGACCGTCGCATGGCTGATCCGTCGCCACCCGAACCACMCGCCAGCAAGGAAGTCGACGAGAATTTTCGAAGTACCTTTTTCACACCATCGAGGTTGTCCACCGTGATTGGATAGCAGAGAAACAAATTACTAATGATGTTGGTYAAACCAATCACTAATTCGTCCATCGTTTTGGAAGTGATCGTCGAGCGGGGGTAGTGGTTGAGCGGCGGGTGGGCTGCCCAGTGCACCGGTACGTCGGGACCWCGTTCCGACGTACGCATCAGGCGGAACACAATRTCTGAGATGCGATCTAGTCTCTTCGCGCAATCCGATCGGTTGATGCTCGGCACTAACCAGGGCAGGGTCGTCCACTTGTCCTTCGGATCGGTACAAAAGTATCGCAGGACTTCTAGGAAGGGACGGACCTTCCCCACCGCATCCTGGAGCGATTCCTTTTCAGCTGCCTTCTTCCAGAGTGTATGGGTGTTTTGTCGCACCCCATTGCGCGGACAACCRCCGTTTTCCTGSGTCAGAGGATCCGGTTTGTAATACAGAACAACCAGGCATCGTTTCAAATCGGGATCCGCCTTTTTCAGAAGCGATCGCATTGCCGTAGTGTAAGCCTCGTGAATWTCTCGATGRTAGTTCACATACGGTGYTTTGTTTGTGGCCATGACCCAACCACGTCGTCCCTGGAACCATTCCAACCATCCTGGCAAGGCGTTTTTCTGCAGCATTTTTCTCAGCGCGTTGTAATTGACCTTGTCGCTGGGATCCTGTTTGTGAACCACAAATTCACGCTGCTGATCCAATTCCAGAGTAGCAGTGCCCAGCGCGTATTTCACCTGCTCTGGATATGCATTCGAAACAGYCAGAAATTTGCGTATTGTATCCGCAGTGTCGCGGGATTGAACTCTTGCTATAAAGTCCCAGTTTCCCCCGCGCTGTCTTGAATTGTTTTGGTAAGATTTGGTTTGAGTCGTCTTTGCGTTTGTTTGCTTGGTATGGCTTCCGCTTGATTGGTTTTGATTGATTTTCTTTGTCCTTTCGTAGCTTKGTTTGTTCCATTCCTTTTGCGCTTTGTTCGGATCACCAGTTGGCGACTTACGAGCGTTATTTTCTGGTTTCTTGCTCCATTGGTTGTTAGTTTGCTTCGTTCCGTCATCAAAGCCCTTCCCTGCGATTATCTTTGTTGGTTTCTTCTTTTTCAGTTTTTTCCGCTGTTGCCGTTGCTGCTGCTGCTGCTGTGCTGAATCCTTTGATCCCATCGTTACGAGTTCTGAGAGTAGTAGTAAAGACCGTTTGATTCGATTCCTAGATAGGCTTTGTTCGCCACAACATGTGGCGACAAGTGTGCAATACCGTGCCGTGCAGAAAAGCCGCTTGGAGAGGCAGAGAGCGGGCTAAAGCGTTGTACTGATAACGATGGCGAAGACGACAATAATCTTGGGCAATTCGACGTGGTCATCGGTGAAGAAAAGGAATACAAGTAATGAAAAACGTTTGTCTTTGGATGGTCTTGGATTTTTCGATTGATCACGTGATYTCTCTCTCTGGTCGTTCCGGCCAACAATTTTCAAATTTCACGAGTGAACTAACTRGACAACGACCTCAATTTTTACGTACTCCTACGACTTAGTGGTAGTACGTACCAGTAGCAGTTTCTGTACGATAACAGTTCGTACGTTGAACGTGGCTCACGATCACGATGCAAGAGTACGAGCAGTACATACGTACTTGATGGTAAGTTCTCGTATCGTAGATACTGTACCGGACTGTACAGATACTGTACCGTATTGACTGGTACTCGTACTAGAACCTACGGTAAAATAAAGCATTGGAGGGTGGAGGTACTCGTACCATACCATAGCACTCTAGGAACGATAGGAGTTGCGTTTCGTTTGTTCCGTGACTTGGTGGAAGCCGCAGAACATYATCTTTCAGTTTTCACGTGCTCACAAACATGACTCTGAACTTTCGCCTGAAATCTACGTCTATTCCATTCGCTGTCAATGAACGTTGGATCTAGGCATGGACTATAACGCAGAGTCGATCCAGTAACGTGCACCGCYGGCGTGATTTCTCGTCAACAACTGCTGCCATGTCTTCCCAAGCCGAACAAACCGTGTCCGGATTCGAGTGCCGCAACTGCGGGAAACTTTTTCACACACAGAGGATCATGCAGCACGAGAAAATATGCATGGCCGTCTACGTCCCCCGACCGCATTCGATCGGGACGCCACCGGCGGACATTCTTGTTTCCCGGGAAGCATCGCCGATCCCTCCGAGCGCACGGTTCGAATTTCCCCTGATGCTCTACGACATGCTCGAAGACTGCACCTTTGACGAGGATTACTGCAGGATTGTGTCTTGGCAACCCCATGGTTTGGCCTTCAAGATCCACAGCATAGAAGAACTCGAGAAAATTCTGCACAAGTGGTTTCGGGAAAAATACGAATCGTTTCGCTGCCTCCTGGAACAATGGGGGTTCGTAAAACTGAGCAGGGGAAATGATCGCGGGTGTTTCTACCAGAAAAATTTCCGTCACCACTTGGCGTTGTCCCGAGCCCGCGAGAAATACGCAAACATCGAAAAAGACGATTTTCTCAGAGGCATGCCGCAATACCTGCCCCGCCTTGATGAACCAGATTTGGAAAAGGAGTCAACCTTCGACAGCATCATATCTACCAAAAAACGAAAAACAAAGAGCTTATTTAGCCTCTTGAACGAGGAAAGCGCCAAATCGGGAAAAATTGCGAAGACTCTTCATTTCAATAAAAATCTTTCTGAATTAGCGATTGARAAACCCAAGGTAAGCCAAAAGAAAGGATTAAGGTACAAGGAAGWAAATAAGAAGCAGTGCCGATACTGTCACGGAATGTTTCATCCACAAGCTATGTGGAAGCATGAGAAGTTTTGTGCCACTCGAATCCGCGAAATARAGTGGAACKACAGAGACGACAACAAACACAGCAAAAGATTTAGAAAGGATGAATTGACTTCCAGAGASAACAAGTCAGATAGTAGTAGTATGAAAGTTTCGTACAACGAAAGATGTCCGATAGCAAAGAATGACGATRCCAAAATTTACAAACGTTCGGCTCTGTCAGACGAGTCGTCCCTGTCATCAAATGACTCTGGTTGTCGAATTTGCGGCTTTGATGACGACCACGCTAATCTTCTTTTGTGCGAAGGATGTGATACGGAACACCACATATACTGTCTGAACCCTCCGCTTGACAAAGTACCAGAAGGTGAYTGGTTTTGTGGTAAGTGATTTCACAATGGACACTGTGAACKCTTGTCTATTATTGCGAAGACCATTTCTGACAATATTTTTTTGGKKAAACTCAAATGAAGATAAATGCAAAGCGCGAATGGAYAAAGCACAGATTRACGTAGAGAAATTGATGCATAAAGTTCCCCCGGAAATGCAAAAGAGATTCGGAGAGATATGTTTTGCCAAAAGTGCGGAAAATGCTCACTGGTGGCCTGCCCTGATTTTTGATCCTAGATCCTTCCTTAACAACCTCGAAGTTGTCGAGTTGGTGCGAAAGAATCTAGGGAAGAGATATCTTGTATTCTTTTTCGAAAATCAAGATGCGTTTGCTGCCATTCCGAAGAGATGGATCGTGACATGGGAAGAAGGTGTAAAAAAGGAATTCGATCGGGGAAAATCTGTTCGTCACGCAAGTAAAACTCGGAAAGAGAGATTTCAGAGAGCAATGAACCTCGCAAACCAAGCACTTGCAGATATTGCAGCCGCCGGATATTCGGAATCTGAGACAGGATTCGACTCTCAATTTGATAATGACGATGACGAAAACGCCGGGAAGAAAACGAACAAGGATATCCGGAAAACAGAACTAGAAAATTCTACAATTTTTGATTTAGATCCAGATTTTGATTGGAAGTCTTTAAGGGAACAAGCTTATAGGGAGACCATAAGTGCAAGCCCGTCACAATACCCGACAGTGATWAAGCCTGCTATAAGGAAGAGGATGAAAAATAAGGGAAGGAGAATCCGGGCGCAGCCATACATTGGAAAGMAACTGTGTTATATTGGAAGTTTTTCAGACGAACACAAAGCTGCCTTTGCTATTGAATGCTTCCTGAAGAAAATGAAATTAGCGTTCGATGACTTAAAAAATGGCGATAGCTCTCTCGGTTCTCACTCCGATTCTAACGACCCAACTGATGGCGGCAAAAGAAGGTCCGATCTTAAATCTCGAGGAGGTTTTCAATCGCCCTCATCGGAAATATCATCAAWGAAYGAACCCGTTGCCAAGGCAGCGGATCCGTCGTCATTTGGAACATTCACGGATAGGAAGCCTCCTATGAGGCCACGGTTGCGACGGGYTGCAAAAATAGCTTCCAAAACATCATTAAGTAATGAAATTGTGCATCCTTCGGAAATGTCAAAGAAAGTGGAATCAATAGAGAAGGACGCAGCCTCGCGGCCCCAAAATTTGGAGCATCTCGAAGATGATGAGAGGGATGAATTACTGTTGAACGCATCCTTGTGTCACTATTATCTTCTACCATTATCACAATTTTGATGGTATTTTGCATGAGCATCGTGATGGGCATTGAGATCTCAATGCTGATCCCATCTCTAGTAGGGTCCACATATGGTTCCAACGTTGCTACTGACTTCTCTCTATTAACAATCACTACCAGAATACTATTAGTATTTCCTATACAAATTAGCAAAGGGGCCATGTCTAATGATTTCGGTAAACAGAGGAACTGTGTCGAAATCCAGAAGAAGATACCACGATATGTTACCAAAACATTGCCGAGATAGTTCTCGATAATGTTCTTATGGGAGAGGGCGCGCTTCTACGAAAACCAATTTCTCGTAGTAAAAGGTTGAAATCCGATTGTGGTGATGTATGAAATAGGAAGATTTTTGCCCGGGTTTAATTATTATTTGGTACTTTTTCATCGAAAAAAATTTGGTGGTGAGATGATCTCTCAGAGAATTGGCAATAGATGGAATGCGCTCTTTTTGTTGGTCTATTGTTGCAAACAATTGTAAAGTGCACATTACCGAATACWTTGTAGCCTGGTGGTTAGTATRATAAATATTGGTTCATAGCCAATGCTGACATTATCTGCATACGTGGATTCCAACAGTTCTCAGACTTTAAGAGAGATTTTTCTCAGCTCTTGAGTCTAAAAATGCAAATAGTTAACATGGATTCGGCTCTACTATATCTAGCTGRCAGAAAGTTGTGTAGAAGAGGTGTTGTTGGTAGAGTTGTAAATGCCATCCTCATTGGAAATTGCGGGAGTCGGTGCCGTGGTGGGAGTTAAGAGCAAAGACGTTCGAATCGACCCATCCAGTCTTCAGCCACATTGAGTCTGTATTTAGGGCGACGGGCTCTAGGTGGTATGTGTCCACTGCGTTGCAAGATTCCCGGACCAAAATGCACCGTCCATTTTTTCACAAACTTTTCGGAAGAACAGAGACCTGTGTCATCATTGGAAACGGGGTCGTGTTTGTCAAACGGTGTGGCTATCTTTCGCTCTGTATGAGGTGCAAGTTTGTGCTGCTTTTTTCGAAGGGAATGTATCGCAAGCGAATCGGTGTAGAAACAATCTAGATCATATCGATGGTAAGTTTTACTACCTTCTGTTTGACGACAATGCTCCTCGGCATCATCCAACAGAGCCTCTAAAACGTCTATCCACGAGTTCGCAGATCCAGAGGCCAGTGTCGGAGATATCATATCGTACACTGTAATGTGACCGTTGTTTGGAAGCTCGTCGCCTCGTATGATGTCCCCACCGTTCTCCCGATACAAGCTAGGAAGCGGAAAGCTGTCGTAATCTGAAAACCATCCACCGCCTGCGACAGTCATTGCAATCCACTTGTGAAAGACCACCCGACTAAAATCGTCGAGTTTCAGGGCGTCTAATCGAGATTGAACTGATTCATATCGACTTTGTGTCAAGTGTTTCTGGCCATTCTCCTTCCAAACATCTTTCGCGGTAAGAACAACTGGCATGTACCCAGCAGCGTGCCAGCGTTCTTTCCAAAATCGAAGGAGTT